AAGCAACATGTTGGTAAGAGAAATCGGCGCTCTTTCACAAGTAATACTGGTCTACTGGTCGCCATTGCATTCTTGGAGAGTTTTCCCACCTTGCTCAGTGTACCCAGTGAATACCCAACACGAGAACGCGTCTTGCTCTTGGGTAAGTTGCTCATGTCGGTCGCAAAAGTCACAAAAAAAAAGGCGGGTTGGGGGTGGGAAACCCAGGGGCGCTAAAGGGGAGACGACGTGAGGAAGACCACCTTCAACTGGGACTGTGGCAAGTTTAAAAGAGCTTGAATGCTGGACGTAGATCGGCATATGGTTTGGGTAATGTCGCATTCCCCACTGACGTTTGGAATGCAACGAATGCAAATGCTCAACACATGGTTGTTGACCATTCATGTGGCATGCATGCATGCGTTCGGACGTGATCTCTGCCTTAACACGCCGATGATAACTAAGCCCTTGTCTAGTAGTAGGCTTCGCTCCTGTATCGCAAATTCCGCCGCAGGACGCCAAATCTGCTTGACAGGAGTTTAAAAGGTATGTTTCTGAACAATTTCAGGCGCTAGTGATTTCATCATGTTTTGGCGCCAAAATGCTGCAGAACTGCTCCCTAACATGGAAGTCTCTAGGGCTGTTTTCTCGCATCTCGCCAGGCACGCGATGCTGCTACTGGATGAAGCGGGAAATATTACCCATTTGAACGTCCTTCTTTTAGGACCGGCACATGTGGGGAAAACATCATTGCGAACTGCCTTCCTGAATGGATCTGCCCGTGGTCCGAATCGTGTCCGAACGCGAGGGCCCTGGCAAGGCTCATACGACCCAACGATAGAATCGTCCGACACGGTCCAGTACATCCTTCCGTCCTCTTCGACCAATGCAGGAGTCAGTCCTATGTCACCTGCGGACAGCTCATCATCCGCGAGTACTTTGAGTGATGATGTATCGGATGAGACACCTGTCATAACGGAAGAAGATCTGTGGCAGAAACGAACTGGGCAGCGCATCGTACTTACCCTTAGCGACGTGGGCGGGCACCCGTTCTATGGGACCATATGGGCGTCCGCCATTGCCGCTGCCGATGCATTTATGCTAGTATATGATGTCGGAAGTCGACAGTCGTTTGAGGCAATGTGGGGCTTTTACCGACTAATTGTGGAAACGAAATGGGCTCGACCACATGACGTCCCCATCATGATGCTGGGAAATATGGTCGATAACGTTACGTCGGATCCGACCGTACATTTACTCGACAAGCGGCCACGTCAAGTCACTAGAGACATGGGACAGTCCTTTGCCAATCTCTTGCGCCTACCTTTCACTGAGACGACAGTCATGGCGCCGCAATCAGTAGCCCACTGTTTCAGGCAATTGATATTAATCGCGCAGGAACAATCGCGCTCTATGGTTACGGCCGGTCTAGCGGCCAGGGCTGATGGAGCAGGACTGCTCTCGCCTCTGTATCGCAATATCCGCCGTCCGTCCAACGCCTCTGTCGTAGGATCCGATGCCGGCAGTGAAAGCGGGGCAACCAGACACTCCCAAGTGTCCACCCAATCCACTGGTGCGGCGGTCGAACGAGTTTATGGTGCAGTATCGAGAACTCAGGATGGCGTCACCATGCTGGATCCGAATCGCGATTCAATATGCACTGATATGTCTACCACCTCTACAAGTGATGCGAATGCAATTGCCAGTGCGCCAACGAACAGTGTGACCGACGGAATGGCGGGTCGCCCGCGGGCCGATAGCTCCTCTTCGTCACACGCGCCCGCTTTGAACCCTCTGCCACCGCCACGGCCCGACAGTATCCGCTTCAGAAGAGACATGGTCTTCCGAGCTTGGCGAGCCTTTCAACGTAGCCCAGCGTACGCGTCCGCTTTGCCGGACGAATCTAGGCATGTCATTCGATCTCTAGTCACGAGTAGCGGGAGTAGTGGGTCGCGACCATCATCACCGGGCCCAATCCTCCCGGTATCCGCCATTCCGGCTCGCTCAGAATCGCTTGCTCCACGCCAAGGGTCATCGGCATCCAGTACCTCGTCGTCGTCCTCCTGTAAGCCTCAGCAAGATTCGGGAATCTACATTCCCGACATGAGTGCACGCAAACACAGTTTGGGGTCCACTGCTCCCACGCTGTCCACCGTTGCAAGTGGTTATTCAGACGTATATGCTGCTTCCCGTACATCGATGATTTCAACTGCGGATAGCCGGATTGACGTTCGAGAGCTTGAAAGTGGGCCTTGGGACAAACAAGAACAACCACCACTGATGACATCAAGTCAAACCGCAGCAGCGCAGTCTCGCCAGGCTGCTATGCGACGATATCGTTCCTCGGAGGACATTTCCCGTCTGGCGCAACAACAACAGCAACAACAACAGCAAGCACAACAAGGACTTTTAAATGGAGGCATCTTTGCTGCACCCATTCCAGTTCCTGCACCTGCACCCGTTTCCTTGTCAGATGGAATTATCAAGACCCACTCTGATATCAGTTCTAGATCATCAACTCCTGTACCTACCCCTGCTCCAACCCCATCTGCCGCCAGCACTCCTAAAAGGTTACAGCGATCTCAGCAAAATTTGCAAATGTTGTTGGATCAGCTGGAAATGTACAGTTTTGAGTCAGATCCTGCAAGTGAGGATGACCAGGCCTCAAATCTAAACGAATCCTGCAAAACTGGCAGCATGCGATCATTGAATTCGGGAATAGTGAGATCGAAGAGCATGAGTTGCCTAACAGAGGCCAGTGGCAATGATTCGAGAAACGTCTCAAGTGCGACTTTGACGGAAATCCCATGCAACCAGGGCGACCTGCCGGGTGCTTCGCAGTCTACTTGCGGCCCCCTTTCGCCATCACACTATGCTGGACCGACACCCATCCCCAGAAGCGCGCAAGATGAAAGCCTAGAGGTGAAGTTTTCGCAACAAGACTTGCCCAGTAAAAGTAGCGAAGATTCTGTGCCTTTCATAGTACCGGATCTTCCGGCTATGCCAACGCACGTACCACCGTCAGTACTAGCAGCCGCAAACCTTGGCAAGGGAAATCGGGCCAACTTGGAATTACTCCGCAGCATTCTGGCTGAACTGGACGAGCGTGAAGTTCGGGAAATTGTGCAAGAGTTTGGTTTAAAGACCGGAGTGCCACAAGGCGGGACTAGTGTGGGTGGAATGGTAGGCTAGCGGCGATTTCAGCCTGCAAAACACGGGCGGGTCGGGAATGGCGAGGATACCCTTGTACAGATGTAGCATATTTATAATTTGGTTTCGCTGAGGTTTGAATTGTGTATGAGGAGGGGGGGTGATCAAAAGTGTAGGATGGTTTGTTTCATTAGGTTGTTTATTGAGTTTTGTGTATATTGTCACTCAGTAGAAAGGTTGTTGATTAAATGAATGCAATTGCTAATTACTTGTACAAAGTCTAAATTGTAAAATTCACTAGAATTAAATGTATTAACTTGTTTTTAGCGTTCTCAGTATCATAAGTTGAGATAAGTTGGAAAACGTCATGTACAATAAAAAGACAACGTAATATAAACATATGAGGTACTAAACGTAAAAGAATATGAAAGTTAAAGTCATATCTGTACACGTGGGCGGCGGAGAGGTGGATGCTGAGTTGAGCATCTATGACGGTCTATGCCCATATAGCGGAAAAACGAGTAGCGACACGATTCGTATGCCGGTGAGAACAATGTTGGTAATAATGGAGACGACAATGTGTCTATAAAATGCGTCAAGAAAAAGGAACAGCCGAAAAATTTAGGTTTAATTATCGTACTCATCTCTACAAGCACACGCACGCCAACTTACAATATTGAAAAGGCATCCAGGGTCGGTGACCCTTGAGTATTGGGAAAAACCACCGGAATAGACATGTCCCATGGCTTGCCCTTCCCAAACACCGAGAGATCATCGGGCGCCATTTGGCTCACTCGCTTTGTAGTTCCTCGTACAAACGCACTAAATCCGCCCGACTTGTTTGATTTGGTGTTGCCGCTGCCGCTTGCACCACCATGAGGTTCCCTTCCGGCGTGTGAGTCTCCCTCACCGGTTCCATGAGGCTTTTCCCCGCCACCTTCACCGCCACTCCCCCGGCGTCCGCCTGTCAGGTTCGACCAACTCCCGCTCAATCGATTACTATCCCCAGTCGTTTCTCCATACAATTCACGCAGGACGAACAGTGCACAGTCTGGATCGCTCCAATAGTTCATGTGAACACCGAGGGCGGATATGTAAGGATTCTCCAACATGCCTTCCTGAAGGACATAGTCAATCCTCCCTCGAGGATTTAGCCGCTCCACGCCAGTGACTTCAGGTCCGGACCGTACAATCTCCTGCATCTCCACCTCGCTCTCATGGTGTTCTGTCCTTGTGTCGCGGGCGCGGGTATCGCCTTTTGTACCAACATTTCCGTCATCCCCAACAAGAACGGTTGGAAGACCCTCGTGGCCCTCGTCGTCAAGTTTTCCTTCCGTATGGGGCGATGTCTGCCCCGTTGGCTTAAATGCGTTGATCGCGCTTACCATGGTCACTACTTTCCCGACGCTAGACGTTAAACCACTGGTAACGACTGCTGTGGTGGATACAATCCCCAGTTTTGCTGCTTCTAACATGCTTCGGCCTCTATCCGCGATATCATTCCCAAGATCCTGAATGCCTACAATGGTACCCTATAACACAGCACATGGCACACGGCGCAGAGTTAATTTCGGGAGACCTTTGTCGGCAGGATTAACATATTCAATGACTACCTTTAGTCCCCCTTTGGTATATGGAATCGGCACCGGCTTGATCTCGGCGAATTCTCGTTTGATGATGGGTTCAATCCGATACGCAACGGGATCTGTCAATAAGCCGGCAGATGAACTTTTGAACACAGATCTACATCAAGACAAGGACGTACCGTGTGGATGAAAAATATTGTAGATTGCGTTGACCGCAGGGTATGAGACACCTTCCACCTGATCACCTTCTGATGGAGGGGGAGCCATATCGGGTGTACGTGCCTGAAGCTTGTCACCCTTAAGCAAGAGGAATAATCCAACGGGCGATCCGACAACTACGTCAAACGTAAGCTGCATTAGACGAGTTCTAATTCGACTGCAATAAGTCATATCATTACCAAATAATTTATCAACCTCGAACTCTAGCTGATCGTATCTCATATTTGTTCTCTCCATTAAGCCTTTAACTCTGCGATCTTCCGCGCTCATTGCGCCGTGTAGTAAGTCCGTCAAATCTACTTCGGCAGGTCGTTTGATTCCTCCAGGTGTTGGTGGTTGCAAATCCACAACAGGTATCCCGCTGCGTTTGAAAGGTTGATTGCAGAGAATATCGAATGCCAGTAGACTGCCCAGTGAATGACCAAAGATTGACACCTTTCCGTTGAATTTTGGATTTCGTTCTTTGAAAAGTTGATATATTCGGTTGAGCTCCTCTGTCACATGCTTGATCATTTCCTGCCGATATCGAGGGGTCATGTAGAGAAGGACTGGGTAGGCGAATTTTGCTTGGGTTATAGACTGGGGCGAATGTTTCAAGAAAGTACAACAATCTCACCATCTAAGACCACATCTGACACCAATTGCCGAATACTGGGTACGCCCTCTAACGTGATGTCTTCCAATGTCGTCTCTGTCTCGAATTGCTCATTCGCTTCAGCATCATTCGTTCCCGCAGCCTTCATCTTCCGTGACATGCCAAATTGTATCTTCTGACGCCATTGTACAGGCAAGATCTGAACTCCTCCGTCATCAGGCATACTGATTAGCCCCGCCTTTCGGCTCGATCGCAACTGGTCCTTTGCAGTAGCATACTGTCGAGAAGATTCCTTGATGGTTCGTCGAAGTATGTTGCAATCTACACGACATCCAATATTTAGGCAATTTGTGGGAATGCAAGCTGCCACTCATACCCATACCATGTATGAAATTAACGGCTTCTACCCTCTCTCCAAGTTTTTGCCCAATTCTTAAAGAGTGATCGAAAGAGTCAGATGGTGGTGCTACGAGACCTAACCCAAAAAAACCATACCCATGAATGACCAGAACCAAGTGATTTATAGTTCGGTCGCTATCATCAGATTCGCTATAATCCTCAGCTTCAGTCTTCTCCTGAAGTTTTTCGGCCTGGTCTGGCGTGATTGTATTTGTAGATGAGGTAGCCGGGGTCATCTCGGCAATTAGAGACGCGATGGAGACCTTATCTCCAGCTTTTTGCAGAGGATCCGTTTGCACATCCGTGGTATCATCTTTCAGCTCTTCGCCGGTCTTATCCTTTGATGTTTCTTTCTCTTTCTCTTTTTCTTTCGCAACCTGCGCTTTCGTCTTTTTCAGCCGCTCTACCTCGTCCCATCCACGAATCAAGCGCGTTCCACCAATATTCATAACCGCGCGGCCGATTTTACTGCTTAGAAGATCCGAAAACTGGAATGCAATATGAGGTCCTTGGTACACGACGTACTGATTCATATATGGACCAAAAAGTGCCCAACGCTGAGTAGGGCAAACGCACTTATTAGAATGGAGAATGCTGCCAACATGGTAAGCTTGACCCACCTGTTCTTTCTGATCATGAAAATTCTTACTCCCATGTTCTGTTGTTTCGGAAGTATTCGGGGTCGAGGATGAAATGGATTTTGGAACTCCGGTGGATTGCTGGGGAGCGGTCTTCCATGGTTGAAACTTGCTGCACAGTTAATGGCAGACGATTTAGAGCTGAACCACACACGTCCCTTCTTAAATGATTGGGCATACCGATAACCGTCTTCTATCTGTCGAGATAGATTTTCGTCACAGGGTAGGTAATTTCCTCCAAACGCTGCATAGAACCATGTCCCTCTCCGAATATCGTACGTTGGCCCATGCCAATACACTATGAAAATTCCAGTAAGAGAGCGTTCTACTACGCCATTACAGAGGGCGGAACTCTACCGGGATAAGTCTCCATCTTCTCAACATCGGCCTCGAATAGATGGTCTTCATTGACGGGAACTTTGCTATCAACTTGAATCTCCGCGGTACTTGGATCCCCGTCACTCTTGCGCTTCTCAATACTCTTCTGTAGTCGCCGCCATGTCGCTTCTAAATCTGCAGAGTCTCTCTCGGAAAAGGGTTTCCTACCAAATAACGAAGTTAAAAGTAGTCCTTCAAGACTAAGCAACATCACGAGCACCAAACTACCATGAAGAAGGAGGTTTTTGAGCGGTTGTAGTACTGACAACCTTGAAAGGACTAGAATCGTGCTTGGGTACGTCAACAGCATGAAACCAGCTGCGGTTTGGCAATAATGGGTTAATAGAACATATAATTGGTCAACCCGGTTGCCAGGAGTTGAAGCTTACCGGACAGTAAACTTTGGAGCTTCAGCACTGGACGACACCATTCTTCAAAGACAGAATCTCTCGGAGTGGTGAGCGGTCGGCTCTGTGAATCCCTTCCAGGTTTGTTCGCGAGTGCAACACCCTTCCCAACACTCAAACGTTCTAGGCACGCTAAGGGGGGTTTTCGTAACTTGACAATTTGGCAGCCTCTAGCTAAACAAGTCGCAGTATAATTGTTGCCGAGCGTTCAGAATGCAGACACGACATTAGCAGCAAAATCTGGCCAAAATTCTTGTGTCACTAAAAGGCGCCTGGTGTCATTTTAATGATCAGCCATTTAACTTTTTCATCGTTTATTTACATGCACCATGCGTTCAGCACTGCCATGTTGGGCACCTTTCGGTAAGTAAAAGACACAACGAGGAGAATCTGGTCGAACTTTTGGATGAACTGCACATTCCATCGCCTAGTCTATAAATATCCCCATGCGCACACATCCTCACAGAGGTCTCTTGGTGTAGTTGGTTATCACATCAGTCTAACACACTGAAGGTCGCCAGTTCGAACCTGGCAGAGACCACTCAACAAAACGCCCTCTCTTTCTTGATTCCATTTTGTCCTGCCTGTATTTATTTTATCCAATAGGCGCTCGTTCATAAGCCGACGTTGCCTGGTTGGGCAGCAGCTCCGATATTGGACCACAGTCAAAGAATACAAGATTTCAAACTGTGTCTACTTGATGAATGAATCGACTAACATCATATTATCTCTACTGACACCCTCTTCCGTCGAGTACATGAGAATCGGCAGACAGTCCCCCCGTGATATGTCCCTGTTTCCAACCTACTTTACGTTCTTTTTTCCAATGATTTTTGTCATACCTACAGTGCGACAGCCGCCAGAATCTTCTCGCAAATGTCTTTGTATTCGTTCGAAGGTCCGCTAACTCGCTTGAACCTCAAACCATGGAGGTTCTTGAGCCTTGGAAGCTTGCAAATTTCGATTTCAAATTTCATGCCATCATTGCACGAACACTCAACCAAGAATCGTGAGGTGAGGCGGTACTTTATATCGTGCTTTGTACAAGCATTGGCCACTTCCTGAACAATTTCATCCGGGGGCTTTGAAGACGTCGTATTCGAGTTGAACGTAAAGCGTAGAGAACGCGGCTTGTTGTCCTCTCCTGGTTTAACTATCCCCGAACCGATAGAAGAGGACGAAGGCCCAAGTGTCCCAGAATTTACCACTGTATCGGCTGTGTTCACCTGGCTAGCTACAGTAGGTGAAACCCCGCCCACCATATCTCCGCCCTTATCAGCCGTTGGAGACATGCCTCCCATTTCAGACGGTCGGCGTCCAAGACCTCCGCGGAGAATACCAACAATTGTGTTGTGTCGCTTGCGGCGTTGAGGTTCGCCAGTAGCACTTCCATCAGTAGCAGGTGCATTAGTACCTTGTATAGAAGTTGCGGATGCCGTGGGTGTAGCCACCACCGGAGGCTGCGAGTTGGAAACTGGTACGGCGGGAGCGGCAGTTGTCGGCCGACTTGGCAATGGCACCCCAACTGGAGTTGGGCGTTCCGTGTCATCCTTAACGGGGGAAGGCTGCTGTAACTTTTTGAGCATAGCGGCCGCTTCTTCGTCTTCTTCAGCGTATTTCGCCATATCAGCCTCCCCGCCGACCGTAAACCGACGCCTACGAGTCGGTTTGGAAGTAGGTAGCACAGGACGTGCTTGCGATGGGGGCGCTGGTGCAGGTTCAGGAGACTGAAGGACGCCGTCTTCGTCAATGCGCATCATCACTGGTTTCGACCCGGCCCCTTGACTGGAGCTGAACGAGGTCCCTAGCCCACTGTCCCTTAGACCTTGCAAATGCGGGTGAACCGGCGCAGGTGAGGGGGTGGTTGGGGATGGGACCTGGGTCGTCGGATTAGCTGCGAGCTCGGCAGCAATGTTGGCACGGGTATCCTTCTCGTAGTAAAGTAAGTAGTAAATGGACGACACTTCGTCATATACATTCTCGCGCAGTTTCTGTATGATCGTCTCCCTGTCGATGTGATATTTGTTCTCCAGGAGGCGAATAATACTATCGTCTTCTTCAACCTTCTGAGACACGTCTGTGGATATGGGTGAATCCGAGAATCCATCATTAATCCAAGGGTCGTCAATGAGCATTTCCAGGCCAGCGCGCTTGAACGGATCCCGTACAAGGAATTTGCGGAGTAGCTTTTCGCACGCTTTCAATAACAAAGAACAATTTAAGATCCTCCCAAGGCGAAGTAGGCTGCAAGAAACAAACTTACAGTCTGAAAGGTAAAAAGGAATACGATATTTTCCCCTGCAAACAGACTCTCGCATTTCTTGGAGATTTTTTCCATCGAATGGCAAACAGCCAGTCGTAAGGACGTATAGAATGACACCCAAACTCCATATATCGACCTCGGGTCCAGTATATCTGCGTCCTTGAAAAAGTTCAGGAGCGGCATATGGTGGAGAGCCGCAGAATGTGTCCAGCTTCGACTCAGGGTCGTAATAGTTGCTGAACCCGAAATCAGCAATCTTGATGTCGAGGTTGGCATCCAAGAGCAAGTTCTCAGCCTATAAATGCTTCCATTTTAGTAATGTACGGCATTTCGTGCAATGTGCCAAGTACGGAGACAAACTTTAACTGACCTTGAGGTCCCGGTGGATGACCCTTTTCTTATGACAATAACTGACAGCACTCAGAATTTGTCGGAATTTTGCGCGAGCTTCCTTTTCCTTCATCTTTCCATGGACGACGAGATAGTCGTACAGTTCACCACCAGAGGCATACTCCATGACCAAAAATACTGTACTTTTAGTTTCAATGACCTCGTACAGCTTTACAATGTTCGGATGATGCAGTAATTTCATGATGCGGACTTCACGGTAAAGCTTGCTCAGCTTCTTTTCATCGAGAGTGGTCTTATCAATCACTTTGATTGCAACCTACAGAAATGCACAGAAAGGTGACCTCAATGTCCGGTGGCTATGGTCACATTTCAGCATACCTCTACACCCGTGAGTTTGTGTTTTGCAAGTTTGACCTTGGCAAAGTTTCCTTCGCCAACTGTTTTCTGGAAAACATAGTTCCCAATGCTTTGTAGATTCAAGTCCGGATTGTTGGTGTCATCCTTGTCCCTCCGAGAACGTGACGAATTGGGCTTTGAAGTGGACGTGCTCATCGTCTCCACAACTCACAATACAACCAAAACTTTTCAATCTACCACGGTGCCAATATAGCCAAAGGTTTCTTATCCACGATCAGTTACACACTGCAACCTGAACAGAGGATTTCCACCTAATGTTGCAGGCGAAGGATATACCAGCGAGTGGAGGAACAACGTCGCTTTGAAATACTTCAGAAGTAACCTCTCCGAATGGCGGTCGGACGAATTGTCACAAAGAGCCCTAATGGCTTTAAGGGTATAAAATGATCCGGCCCAGCAGATATGGAACACGATGCAAAGGGTCCAGCTCGCTCTATTGTTGTTTGAGCTAAATGTGTCATACAGCGAGCATCATGCGTACGAAAATAGTCCGATCAATTCCGACAGATCGGCAAATACATTGTATTGGGTCCCATCCGATGCATACTCGGACATTTTTAAATACAAAACAATCCTGGACATTTTTGTTGAGCTCTGCGATAATGAGGGCTCTTTTTCCTCAGCGTGGTAACTTGCACACAGGAGAGGCGGTAAATGCGTTGTGGCGAGAGCCGCTAGTACATTGGGGGGCATCGTAGCATTCCCCCTTCCCCAATCCAATTTTTATGAAACCAGCGGTCGCTGCTAACAAGCTAATATACTCCTGGAAGGAATCTGCACTATGAGGGG